AGTCCCGCCCGGCCCTGGCAGTGCTCTCTGAGGATTGTGGCACCTCAGCAGGGAATTGTGGTTGTGTTCCATGGGGGAAGTGCACCCTGAGGAGCACAGCAGGGCAGAGATCCCTGAACACCTTACAGGATTTAAATCTTCATCACATCAGGGAACCTCTGCGTTGGGAAGGACCTTAAGGCTCAGCTGGTTCTGAGCTCTGGGCTCCTGCCAGGGGCTGCTCCCATTTCCCTGTGCAGCCCTGCAAGGACGGAGCTGCCTGAGCCTTCAGCACTCAGCTGCTCTGGGAACAGGAGCTGCTGGGTGCAGGAATGTGCAGACAGGACTCAGCTCCTGCGTGCAGGAAAGCCAGTTCTTTATTCACAGGGCCAGTTCTTCATTCTCATAGCCAGTTCTTTATTCACAGGGCCAGTTCTTCATTCACAGAGCCAGCTCTTTTGTCACACAGCTCATTTTTACAGGAAATATCAGAAGGCACCTAATTGGTTAACAACACACTGAAACTCAGTTTGTTGGTCAGTAAATGGCCTTTGTGCCTGTCCACCAAATCCTTCTGCTCTTAAACAGTTTACATTTCCTGCTCACTGATTGCCATGGGACACATTTCTTGTTTTTCACAGGTGCAAGTGGTTCTCTTTCCAGAAGGGTTTGTGGTGCTAGCTGCTTTCATCCCTCTGATTTTCCGCGTGGAGGTTCCAAGCTGCCTGCTAGCCTAGCCAGAGCAGCAGGGCCCAAAGCACATTTTACAGTGTCTGCCTGTGTGCAGCAGGTGCTGGCACGTGCAGGTGGGTTTGGGGCTCCCAGTGGGGGCACAGAGCTGCTGAAGGAGAGGGCAGTGCCCTCTCCCACCCCTTGCACACCGAGATCTCCCAGGGCACGTTTGCATTCGGGTCCTCTCACCCCCCCGTTTGTGGTTTTGCAAACGCACAGCGCAGGGGAAGCTAATTTTAATTTTTATTAAAAAGTGTTTCTCATTCTTATGTTTGCACAACATAATGTAGAGAATGAGACAGAATCTTCAGATGACCTGGAAAAGCCTTCTGGGAGATTTAAAAACCGTCTACTTCGTCTGTAAGAACATTTGTTTTAATTCCCATATAAAAGTGAGATAAATTGGCTTGTAATAGCACGAGTCCAAAAATATCTCAAGTTACCACTTTATTTCCATATTGCAACATAACACAATCCAGTGCATAATTAGGAAGCTGAATTACAGAAGAGGAGCAGTTGCTCCTGATTAGACTGAAGGCAAAGCTTTAGCCTGCACAAAGGGTTTCTGACTCCTAAAGGGACTTTTCAAAGCTCTGCAGCTCTGAGTGAAGTTGTTCTATAAACTGTAAGTTCAGTTCTTCTGGCCCAGCAGCTGGAAATCTCTCCTGGGTTGGCAAAGACAGAGGCCTGATCCTGCAGTGCTTTGCTTCCCAGAGAAATCACAGTTCATGCAAAATTAGCCATTGATGTATTTTGTTCTATAAAAATTGCCCGTTATTAGATGTGTGTATTCCAGACCAGTCCAATTTTCTCTCAAGGTTTTGAAGGCAATTTTTGTGATTTGCATGAATAAAGCCAGAATCTGGAAAACATAAAAATCTAAAATTCAAATGGAAATCACTTATGTAAAAGCAGTGATAAAATCTAGGTGCTTTTGCATGTGAATGATGTCCTCGGGGTTGGGTTTTCTCCAGTGCCTGCTTCAAAGTCCCTGCATTTGCAATGCAGTGTGTGAAGTTAAAATTTGTCAAAAGTCAGAGTGTGCTTGAGAGGGAAGGAGATTTGAGCGAGGGTGACCCTTCAGAAGGGTTTGTCCTTCTGTCAGAGCAGATGTGGCTTCAAACCCTGCGGGGGACTGGCCAGGGACACCAACACCAGATTGGTTTCAGAAAGCCTGGATTTCCTCTGGCAATGCTTCCAGTCATGGGAAGGAACCCTAAATCCCACCCAGTGCCACCCTGCCATGGCAGGGACACCTCCCACTGTCCCAGGGACACCTTCCACTGTCCCAGGTGCTCCAGCCCCAGTGTCCAGCCTGGCCTTGGCACTGCCAGGGATCCAGGGCAGCCCCAGCTGCTCTGTGCCAGGGCTGCCCACCCTGCCAGGGAACAATTCCTCATTGCCAGTCTCCCATCCAGCCCTGCCCTCTGGCACTGGGAGCCTTTCCCTGTGCCCTGTGTGTCCATCCCTGGGAAATGCTCTCTCTCCAGGTTCTTGTAGCTCCTTCAGGCCCTGCAAGGCCACGGTGGTGTCACCCCAGAGCTGGATGAGCTCTGTCCCAGTTCTCATTCGTGTCAAGTTCGAGCATCTCTCACTAAATCTGCATCTTAATTTCTTAATTTAATCTCAGGTTTGGGAGCTGCCAGGTTCAGCAGCCAGCTGTAAAAGGCACGCATGAGTTATTAGAGTCCCATTGTCAGTTAAATCTGATCTTTTGTACTTTAAGTCACCCATTTGCATTCATCTAAAATGCTTCCCGAGAATTTATCAGAAGAAGTGAAATAAGAAATGAAATAGTTTCACGTAAACTGCATTTTTATGTCTGACTGGTAAAACCACAAAGCAGAGATAAAACACATAAAACTGAGGCTCTGCATAATAAGCATATCTATTAGTTTCCCTTATCTTTAGGCTGCTCCCATTTGTCATGAGAAGCTTTGTGTGTCACTCATCCCTCCTTGTTCTACAAACGCTCTTTTCTCTCTCCCTTTTATCTCCCATCAGCATTTGCAAGGTGGGAGCTCTGGAGGTGCTGCCAAAGACCCCTTTGATTAAATAATCATCTCACCTTCAACCCCTTTCCAGGAGCAATAAATCCGAGCTCCTGAGCTGCTGCTGCTCTGCTGGGCCCAGGATTGGGGGAAGTGCTGGACCCAAGGGTGAGGCAGCTCCAGCCAGGCCAGTTCCTCCCGGGCACTGCTGCAGGGCGCCCCTAATTACAGACAGAACAATTAACCGTGTGGGGGCCACCTCCGTGTGCCACCGGCAGGGACAGGGGCTGGGACAGGGACAGAGATGGGGATAGGGACTGGGATTGGGACTGGGACTGAGACTGGGACAGGGACAGGGATGGAGACAGGGGCTGGGACAGGGACAGAGAAAGGGGGTGGGGCTGGGACAGGGACTGGGACAGGGTCAGGGACAGGGACAGAGAAAGGGGCTGGGACAGGGACAGTGACAGGGATGGGGACAGGGACAGGGACAGGAACAAGGGCAGGGGCAGGAACAGGAGCAGGGGCTGAGACAGGGATGGGGACAGGGACAGGGGCAGGGATGGGGACAGGGACTGGGACTGGGGCTGGGACAGGAGCAGGGATGGGGACAGGGACAGGAACAAGAACAGGGGCAGGGGCTGGGACAGGGATGGGGACAGGGACAGGAACAAGGACAGGGGCAAGAGACAGGGACAGGAACAAGGACAGGGGCAGGGGCTGGGACAGGGATGGGAACAGGGACAGGGGCAGGGGCAGCAGGGTGTTTGGGGACATTTGCAGGAGCTAGAGGCTCTGAGGCTCCCCTGAGGTGGCTGCAGAACACCCTGAGGACAAGGCTGGGGACATTTGTGTCATTCCCAGGGCTTCCCCATCAGAAGTTCAGAGTGATGAGCGCTGAGTGGGAGGAGGAGAGGAGGGAGTGTTCTGAATAACCACCTCAGAGTGTGATGCTTTTCCCATCTCTCTGGATTTCCTGTATATTTAATTTCTGAAGGGATGTCCCAGGTGCTGCTGCCTCTTCAGCTCCCTCACTCTGTACTGTGCTGTCTCTGTGCCTTTTAATTGTGCTGAATCCTCTGGAGTCGTGGGAATTGTTCTGGTTTATCTGTTACGTGTGTCCTCTGGAGACACAGTTTTAGAAAAAGGGAGTAAAAAAGGCTTTACTACCCCTGTATATTTGCAGAGTACATTTTTTTAATCCCTGTGGTTTCTTTGGATAATCTCAGTACCTGTTCTCTAATTTTAAAATATTTTTTCACAACAAGCACAGCTGGGTACCACAAGCACAGGAATCGTTGTGTACCCTCTGCAAAGTTATTTCAGTGAATTGTAGAGAATTAAAGTAGGGTAAAGACAAGAAAATCTCACCTTTCTCAATGTTTTTAAGTCAATAATTTCTACTAACTTGTGTTATTATGGCTTCTGTTCTATGACTTACAGCTCAGCTAAATCCTAATTTATATCAGAATTATTTCAGTCCAAATCTGACCTGCACTCTAAATAAATGAGCCAAAGCTGTGCCCTCACTTGCTGTGGGAACTGTGTTAAGGCCCCTGAAATTCTCAGTCACTGAGGCTGTTGGTGGATCAAGCAGGGAATTCGTGTGGCTGCAGGGCAGAGGTCTCAGTTCACACATCTGCATTGCAAACTGGTTAAAAATGGGTGTAAAATGGGTGTGTGTGTGTGAACTGCTGCAGCCTGGCCAGGCCTGTGCTGTGGAACATGCAAACTGGTTAAAAATGACTTTACAGTGGGTGTTTGTGTGTGAGCTGCTGCAGGCTGGCCCAGCCCCATGTGTAACACACCCAGACTGGTTAGAAATTGCTTTACAGTGGGGATTTGTGTGTGAGGAGCTGCAGCCCTGCCGTGGTGTGTGACATGTGGAAACTGATTAAAATCCCTCTCCAGCAGGTATTTCTGTGTGTGTGAGGGGCTCAGCCCCACCCGTGGTGTGTGACACACCCAGACAGGTAACAATCCCTCTCCAGCGGGTATTTCTGTGTGTGTGAGGTGCCACAGCCCTGCCATGGTGTGTGACACATGGAAACTGGTTACAATCCTTTCTCAGCGGGTATTTCTGTGTGTGTGAGGTGCTGCAGACATGCCATGGTGTGTGACACACCCAGACAGGTTACAATCCCTCTCCAGCCGGTATTTCTGAGTGTGTGAGGGGCCCAGCCCTGCCATGGTGTGTGACACACCCAGACAGGTCACAATCCCTCTCCAGCAGGTATTTCTGTGTGTGTGAGGCGCCGCAGCCCCGCCCTGTGCGTAACCCCTCTCTGTCGTCCGCAGCTCTACATCCAAACCACCACGCTCACCATCTCCATGAACCTGAGCGCGTCGGTGGCGCTGGGGATGCTCTACATGCCCAAGGTTTACATCATCATCTTCCACCCCGAGCTCAACGTGCAGAAGCGCAAGCGCAGCTTCAAGGCGGTGGTGACGGCGGCCACCATGTCCTCGCGCCTGTCCCACAAGCCCAGCGACCGCCCCAACGGCGAGGCCAAGACCGAGCTCTGCGAGAACGTGGACCCCAACAGTGAGTACGGGCGCTGCAGCCCCACCTGTGGTGTGTGACACACCCAGACAGGTTACAATCCTTCTCCAGCCGGTATTTCTGTGTGTGTGAGGGGTCGCAGCCCTGCCATGGTGTGTGACACAGGTGTGTGACACACCCAGACAGGTTACAATCCCTCTCCAGCAGGTATTTCTGTGTGTGTGAGGGGTCGCAGCCCTGCCATGGTGTGTGACACACCCAGACAGGTTACAATCCCTCTCCAGCAGGTATTTCTGTGTGTGTGAGGCGCCGCAGCCCCGCCCTGTACGTAACCCCTCTCTGTCGTCCGCAGCTCTACATCCAAACCACCACGCTCACCATCTCCATGAACCTGAGCGCGTCGGTGGCGCTGGGGATGCTCTACATGCCCAAGGTTTACATCATCATCTTCCACCCCGAGCTCAACGTGCAGAAGCGCAAGCGCAGCTTCAAGGCGGTGGTGACGGCGGCCACCATGTCCTCGCGCCTGTCCCACAAGCCCAGCGACCGCCCCAACGGCGAGGCCAAGACCGAGCTCTGCGAGAACGTGGACCCCAACAGTGAGTACGGGGCTCTGCAGCGCCTCCCAGCCCGGGCTCCGCCTGCTTCGCTCCATCGCGGGGTTTGCAGCTCTAGTGGGGTTTTGGAATTCTCTGCTTTTGGCTCTGATTTTCGAGCCGTGCCGTTCGGCGGCGGCGCCTCAGGAAGGGTTTGGGAGCTGGGAGGAACTCGTGCCCCCCCTGCTTTCCCTCTGAGGGTGAGGGAACAGCACATCTCTGGGCACAGAACCCTGCAGGCCAGGTCCAGCTGGCAGGGATGGGTTCCCAGGCAAGCACCAAATTCATCAAGAACTCTGCTAACCCCAGTTTTCATCCTGGTTCTTGCAAAGTTGTTTTGCAAAAATCTCACGGTCCCTGAAGATTCCCATTTAGGGATTTTATCTGGTCTTAATGCAAATCTTGCCACCGATTTAAAAGGAAAATAGATGGCAAAGACACTTCTAGTTTCCTTAATGTGCATAGCAGAGGATAGCACAGCACGAAATTACAGACTGAGGCCATCAAATCTGATTTGCATTTGAATCTGGAAGGAGCTGAGGAAGGAGACAGCTGCACGGCTCCGCAGCACACTGCAAAGGCTTGGGCACGTCTGCAGTTCTTGTGCAAAACCAGGTCTGAATGTGGAAAAATGCCCTTTCCCTGCCCGTGCTCCACTGATCCGTTAGCTGCTGGAATCCATGCCACGTCTTGTCCTGTTAATGCTGCTGGAATTTCTGCCATTGATGCTGCTGGAATTCCTGCCTCTAATGCTGCTGGAATTCCTGCCATTGATGCTGCTGGAATTCCTGCCTCTAATGCTGCTGGAATTCCTGCCTGGAGCAGCAGCTCTGCTGTCAAAGCAGAGTGGGAGCAGGCAGCAGATCCCTGACACAGCACTTTTCCTCCCCCTGCTCACCCCTGCAGGATTTCTCTCTGATCATGCAGGTGTAAAAAATCCATTCCGGCTGGAAAAACTAAATTCGTCCTTGGAAGCTGGACTGGGATTCAGAACCATGGACAGAGCCATGGACAGAACCATGGACAGAGCCATGGACAGAACCATGGACAGAGCCATGAAATGGTTCTCACAAATTAAGGCCTGGATGAGGCCTCTTGCAGCTGGACAGAGCCCTGAGTGCAGGAGGAAATAAATGGAATTCCTGCCCTGGGCTGTTCCCCAGGGACACTCAGAGCACTCTCCAAGGCAAATTTCAGGAAGGGAAGGGAGGAAAAGAGAATTTGAAATCCAGCAGGGCCAGGGCAGGGGAGTGTGTTGCTGGTGCACTTCACTAGTCACTGTTTGGGTCAACTAAGCTGAAATTAAAACACAAACTCCAAAATCTAAGAATTTCATGCCAAAACTTGACCAAAGAGAAACCCACCCAAGCTGTGATGCTGCAATGCTCCCTGTGGGAAGCCCACCCCAGGCTCTCCTCCTGCTCTCATCTCATCCTCCTGCTGCATCTTACTGCTGCTTTCAGACTTCTGAGAATGTTCTCCCCTCCCATCAAAGCACAGCCAGATTTTTCTTTGGGAAGGAAATATTTTTATTGAAAAGAAATAGTGCTCACCTAAGCCCCATATTTCTGGTCAAACACCCATTTTTAGTCCAGGGCTGTAGACCAGAACATGTTTTTAAGAGGCACAAGGGGCAGAGGCCCCTGGCTTGCCCAGATGTGTCACTTTTGCCTTGAGCCTTCACTGAGTGGGATTTTAAAGCTCATAAATGTGTTTGTTAGGAAATGTGCAATCTCTGACTTTCTGCTGTATAAGCTTTTGCTTCTTTTTTCTCACTTGTGAAATAGGTGTTTTAAAAAGCATTTTCATTATTTACATGGAATTCCATCTGTTCATAGTCTCAGCTGCTCGTTCATTGCCCAGGTCTGTGTGCTTATAACAATTATTAGGAAATCAAATGATATAAACTTCTGCTGTACTTGGGGTGCATTAGTCCAGTGTAACTGCTACAGTTACTGTCCTATGGCATTGATCAGGTTATTGATCAGCCTCTGATCAGGCAGCGTTCAGGAGTGTGTATAACAGTAGTTCACCTGAACTCAGTTTTGTTTTTTAAAGTTTGAATATTCTGTTGAATCAAAGTTGTTTACAGTTCCATTTCTAGGTGGAAAAAATGAAAATTTTTTTAGTGAGCTTAAAAAAAAAAGTCATAACATCCAAGAAAAACTCCTCAAACTTAATTTTCAGTGAAAATTTGAGTATGGTGTCCAGCCATAAAAATGGGTTTGATGTTTTTATAGAAATTTCACTTTAAACATATTTTATACTGTGAATAGGGAAATTTCCAGAGTTTTACCAATCAGAAAGTAGGAAATGTGAATTACAAATTGCCTTGGATAGATCTTGGAGCAAATTTTCTAAAAATCTCAAATATCTTCTTTCAAAAGAAAACCAAAGGATGTTTTTCCAGTATTTCTTTGTGAAATTGGCTTTGCTCCCCTCAGATGGCCCCTGGTGGCCTCTGGCTGTGGGGCAGGGGCTGCCTGGTGCCCCCAGGCTCTGAGCAGGGGCAGGGTTTGGTTGTTGGAGCTCAGGGGGGCAGGAGCAGGGGAGTTCCTGCAGAGGATCAAAGTCAGCAGTGCCCAGAGCCAGCTGAGGCTGGCCTGGCTCAGCTCTGGGCTCTGCAAGTACAGTGGGGGTTTGCACTTTGATTTTCTGCTCTTTCTCGCGGGGCTGCTGCTGTTGCTTGCTCAGCTGCGGGTGCTGCAGGTGCCGTTTCTGCTGGGAAGTGTTCCACGAGTGTTCCCTCTGTCCCGAGCCAGGGAGCACCAGCACGGGACCCGTGTACCTCCAAACACTGCAAATCTGGGGGCTGGGCTGGATTTAGGGCCTGTCCTGCTCACAGGACAGTCAAACCTCAGGCAGAATGTGGGTGGGTTTACAGAGAAACAGCCTTGAAAAAATCTCCAGGTTTTAGCAGATCTTTAATAGAACAGAGCAGCTGGGGCTGCCCCTGGATCCCTGGCAGTGCCAAGGCCAGGCTGGACACTGGGGCTGGAGCACCTGGGACAGTGGGAGGTGTCCCTGCCATGGCATGGGTGGCACTGGGTGGATTTAAGGTCCCTCCCAAGCCAGAGCCCTCTGTGGCAGTGGGCTGAAGATGTCCTTGTCAGGCTGGAGCTCTGTGACCTCCTGAGGGGCTTCCCAGGAGCAGGGGATCCTCATCCTGTGGGACCACTGCACACAGCTCAGGGACAATCTGCTGGAGTTTAGGCTCAGAGAAAGATGTGCACAGCACTTGGGAGAGGGGCTTGGAGTGAGTGCAGAGGAAAGCACTGATTGCCATGAGAGGAGAATCCCTGGCAGTGCAGTGACCTCATGTCCCAGCGCCAGGGGAACGGGCTGGCTGTGTGAACACTGCCTGGGCATCCCTGGGACAGCAGCAGGGCCAGGGCTGGGCAGGGCCACGGCTGGGCAGGGCCACGGCTGGGCAGGGTCAGGGCTGGGCAGGGTCACAACTGAGCAGGGTCACAACTGAGCAGGGCCACGGCTGGGCAGGGTCAGGGCGGGGCAGGGTCAGGGCGGGGCAGGGTCAGGGCGGGGCAGGGTCAGGGCGGGGCAGGGTCAGGGCGGGGCAGGGTCAGGGCGGGGCAGGGTCAGGGCGGGGCAGGGTCAGGGCGGGGCAGGGTCAGGGCGGGGCAGGGTCAGGGCGGGGCAGGGTCAGGGCGGGGCAGGGTCAGGGCGGGGCAGGGTCAGGGCGGGGCAGGGTCAGGGCGGGGCAGGGTCAGGGCGGGGCAGGGTCAGGGCGGGGCAGGGTCAGGGCGGGGCAGGGTCAGGGCGGGGCAGGGTCAGGGCTGGGCAGGGTCAGAGCTGGGCAGGGTCACATCTGAACAGGGTCATGGCTGAGCAGGGTCACAGCTGAGCTGCCCAGCCCACCCTGGGAGGGCTCTCCTGCTGAATGGGATGTGCTAAGGCCAAGCCTTCCAATCCAGAGAACTCTGGATTGAGTGAGAACTCTGTTAATCACTCCTGTTTGCATCCAGCGGGTTCCTGCTGTCCCTCTGCTGGGGCACGGTTGGGACCAGCAGGAGGTGGGGCACGGCAGCTCCCGGCCCTGGGATGAGTTTGCTGTGCTCTTGTGTGGCTTTGCTGCAATTTCACACTTTGGGAAGATGTTTCTGGTGGAGCCTGAGGTGGAGCAGGTGGAGAGCCCTGCTGGGCTGTCTGCTGCAGGAGCAGTGTCAGACTGGGAGAGAACCCATGCCTAACTTCTGTTGAGATTTACATGAAATCCTTCCCCCTTGCTGAGGAAAACACTCAAATGGCCGTTGATGATGCCAAGGAACCCGTGAGGGCCCTGGGGCTGAGGAGGGACAGGGGGTCTGAAACTGCAGCCACAGCATCCCAAGCTGGATCAGGGGAGAGGAAGGAAAATCTGCTCAGGCAGCCCTGCTGTGCTGTGAGCAGCTGCTGCCGTGCTTGGAGGTACCTGAGCCCCCTGGCCTGGCTGCCTGGGGGCTGCCAGGGCTCATGTGCTGTGCTGGTGCCCCCCGAGCCCAGGGGGAGCCAGAGGAGTGGCAGGGATGGCAGGGCAGGCTGGGAGCAATCCTGGTGCCCAGACCTGTCCTACATTCAATGTATTTACTTTCCCTGTAGACTCCATACCACCAGTAAGAAAGAGTGTTCAAAAGTCTGTTACTTGGTACACTCTTCCACCTACTGTATAGCTTTTGCCTGCTTTCCAAAAAGGTAAGGAAAACTGAGCTTTTCTTATTTTATTCTCAAATTATGATTATTATGACTATTTTTATTATATACATAATTATATGAGAAATGTTAGTGCAGCTGTGTTAAAAAAGATATCTAACTTAAAAATTGTTCACAAACCCGTTACCAAAAGCTGTCATGGGGGGTTTGCCTGGGAAAGGGGAGACCCTGACATGGGTGGCACCAACTCTGAGAGGTCTCCTCCTTCCCACCACTGGAGCTGGATCACAACAGAGCCTTTGAGGATGGAGATATTTGTTTAAAAATGAACAAACAAATGATCAAAAGTGAATTCTGGCCCCCAGATCTGACAGCTAAGGCAGAGTTCTCTGAGTCCTCCCCAGCAGCCCCACCCCAGGGCTGCCCAGCAGCAGAGAGAGAACCTCAGCCCAGGTGTGATCACCCCTCCCTACTAAGAGCTGTTCATGCCTCCAAAAGGTTTGAAAGCTGCTTTTCATAAAAACCCAGGGCAGCCCAGAGAGCACTGACTTGGTGGAACCACGAGTGAACAATTTTTGAGGGCTGGCTTTTCCTGCGTGTTGGGGCTGCTCGCGGTGATCTGATGATGTGTGAGCTCCTTTGGTATCTGTGACTGCATCAGCCAGGAATTCCTGCTCTCCTAGGGACACAGAGGGGTCAGGAAGCCTTTGACAGTGGACAGGAATGATTGCCAGCCATTAATAAGTATTTCTCACAGTTCCCTGTGCGCTCAGGGCTTTGCCCAGGTACAAAAGCTTGTACCTGACTTGGTTCTGTGCTGCTGAGCACGGAGAGCTGGAAAATCACTGTATTCAGCCTTCAGAATGTTTAGCTGGGCCCTAATAGGTGAGAACCTCTATCAGCAAAGGTTGGAATGTTGCTTGAATTGAGCCTCTGAGTCACAGGAAAAGAAATTACCAATATCTCTGGCTGGTGTAAATTGCCCCAGCTCCAGCATCAATTCAGTCCTCCTGAGAGCTCAAATTGGTTTTTATTGTATTTGAATCAGGGCCATTATGCCAACTCCCAGCTCGGGCACAGGATGGGAGGCTGAAGCTCTCCCTGAACCCCGGGATGACCCGGAGCATCCAAGGGCAGGGCTGGGCTGGGGGAAATGGGACAAAGCAGCCAGGAGGACAAGGGGCCACTCAAAGCATTACTGCAAATGAAAGAGGAGAGGGAAAGGGCAGCTCTGTGAAGATGAAATTGCTCAAGGAAGGAGATGAGAAAGAGAGAGATGGCAGACACCTAAATCTCAGGAGAAATTGGTTTTTTAAAGAAAACTTTAAAAATAATTAGGAGCTCACATAAATTCTATTTTTTTTCCATGTAATAATGTAAATAATGTAAGGAATTGCTGTCTGCAAAGGCACACAAATAACTCTGTCATCTAAGTCCTATAAAAAGCAACTGGCCACTCAGATTCTTTAAGCAGATTTTAAAATTTGGTCCAGAAAAGCTTTGAAGATGCTATTCATCCCAAACCAGGGATGCTGTGGGCTTGTGCTGGTCCTGCCAGTGCTCCCCTGCTCCAGGTTGTTTTCCATCTCTGCCCCAGCATTGCTGCTCCAGCTCCTGCAGCCCTGGTTGCTGCTTTGATTTGTTCTCCCAGGAATACAAAACAACAAGCAGCATGAAACAATGCAGTGTATTAAAAACAAAGCTGGCTAGCAGGAAAACATCAGCCTGGTTGTAAATTGACACTTGTTTTGCTGGTAAGGTGTTTGTAGTAGGAAGGAACAGAGCTGAGCCCTGACGTGACTGTATCAATTTCTGCTTGTGATGCACAGGGAGATGGCTTTGAAAGGCTCTAAATTGTTTCCTGGGAGTGACAAATAGGGCTTCTCTGCTCTTGGGGCTGATGGAAACACAAGGCTTGAAAAACACGTGGTAGGTGCGAGGGAAGGAATTGTCCATCCGTGAGCAAGGCAAGGAAGCAGCTGAGGCTTCTGCAGAGCTGCAGGGTCGCAGAGGGGCTGCAGGAGTGCTGCAGCACTGGGCACTGCCCCCCTGGGCCGGGGCTGCCAGGGTCCAGGAGCAGCTCCCTGTCCTGGCCCTGGCCCCTGCATTCCCTGGGATTCCTGTGGGTGTCCCAGGCTGGCCTCGGGCACTGCTTGGGGCAGGGAGGGCATCCCCAGCAGGTCCTGCAGGGATGGGCATGGCCAGTGGCTGTGCCAGGGCTTGGGAAGGGGCTGGGCATGGGCACCGGGCAGTGCTGATTGATCCAGGGCTTGGGAAGGGGCTGGGCATGGGCACCGGGCAGTGCTGATTGATCCCAGGGTTTGGGAAGGGGCTGGGCATGGACACCAGGCAGTGCTGATTGATCCCAGGGTTTGGGGACACAGACACCAGGCAGTGCTGATTGATCCCAGGGCTTGGGGACACTGACACCGGGCAGTGCTGATTGATCCCAGGGTTTGGGGACACAGACACCAGGCAGTGCTGATCCCAGGGTTTTGAGGGGTGATGGACACAGACACCATGGAGTGCTGACTGACTCCAGGGTTTGGGGGGCTGGCTGGACACTGGCACCATGGAATGCTGATTCCAGTGGTGCTGGGAGCCTGGGCACTGGCAGGGCTGGCACAGCCTGTGCAGCAGCACTGTGGGTCCCTGCCTGCCGTGGGCACAGCTGCCCTGGAGAGGAGCAGAGCAGTTTCTGGATTCCTGTGTCAGGAACTGTTGGGAGAGGAGTCCTGGCGTGGCCTCAGGCTGGCCTGGGCTGCTGTTGGAAGGGGAATGGCTCAGGTACCCCCAGTGCTCCGTGCCTGCTCTCCTCCTGCTCACAGCCCTGGCAGCCCAGGCTGCCCCAGGCCAGGAGCAGCCTGCTGCCAACACCTGGGGACAGGCAGGTGGCCCTGGGGACAGTCTGCTCTTTGGAGGCTCTGGGTCCGAGCTGTGAGATGCTCTGTAGCTCATCAGCCTCCAGTGTGTGCTATGGAATAATTATTTGCTGGATTGAAGTGTCATTTTTGTTTTAAATCTGGCCAGTTTCAGCCTGAGAAAATACTCCGTGTTTGACCTCACTTGAGGGATTTTCTGTTCAGTGGAGGCTGCTAAGAAATGAGAATCTGCACTCAAAATTGATAACTGAAAGACTTTGACAACCCTTCACTGCATCTATTTTGCTTCTGGAATGGCTGACTGGAAAACTAAACATCACCAATTCCTTCCAATGGTGATGTGCTTATTTTAAAAGTATTGCAGGGAGGTGCAGCCTGGCCTTGGGCACTGCCAGGGATCCAGGGGCAGCCCCAGCTGCTCTGGGCACCTGTGCCAGGGCTGCCCACCCTCACAGGGAACAATTCCTCATTGCCAAGATCCCATCCAGCCCTGCCCTCTGGCACTGGGAGCCATTCCCTGTGTCCTGCCCATCCCTCTGCAGCTCTCCTGGAGCCCCTCCAGGCCCTGCCAGGGGCTCTGAGCTCTCCCTGGAGCTGCTCCCCTCCAGGTGAGCCCCCACAGCTCTGCCAGCCTGGCTCCAGAGGGGCTCCAGCCCTCAGAGAGAACATTCCCTCCTGTCTGAACATCTGGGGATCATGTTACTTTCTTTTTTACATCTAAAAATAATTACTTTTGATGGTACATCATATAATTGCCAGCTCCCATATTAATTATCTGCAGACTGTCTCACACGTTTCATGACTTTACCCAATACAAGATTGTAATGTGCAGGGAAGTGTCAGACTGTTTCCTTTTTTAAAAATTGAAATTCTGAGGGCACTTAAACCATCACCTTCGAGTCTGATGTGTGAATAAAAACGCACTCATGGCTAGAAGTGCCTGGGATATTAAAAGCTGTGTAGTAGGTGGATGTCTGGGAGCACAAATAAGGATTAGTTGTGTGTAAGTATTCATTGTTCATTCCACGTTTTCTGTCCTCTTATGTGGTCTTTTTTCCCTGGGAAATCCTGGTGAGGAGTGAGCAGACAAAGCTACACCTCACCCACCAGTCCCTCTCACTTTTTTGCTTAACAAACTCTGAGTAGCTCTGAGTTCTCCCTTTGATTAATTTATCACTCCTTACATCCTCTGAGGGAGATTCTGTCCAATCTATAAACTGTAATATCAGGGAAAAGCCACAGCTTTTGGCTCTCCTGTCTCCCATTTATTTAGAGTGCCTCCCCTTCTCCCAGGCAGGGCAGATGTCAGGGCTGAGCCCGTGCTGCCTGACTCCTGCAGGGCTCACTGCCACCCCTCCCTGCTGGGGAACTGCTGCAGGACAGGGGCTGGGAGAGGTCAGACTCCACAGCCTCACCTCCATCCCCCTGAAGCCCCTGACATCGTTGGGACCCAGGCTTTGGGGAGCAGCTCACAGCTGCAGAGAGCTCCCAGCAGCAGAACCAGTGGCTGGAAGGGCCATTTTTGTTCATAGATCTATAGAAAATTTGGCAAGTGAGTTCAAAAAGGAAATTCTAATAACGATGGGGTAAAAAAGAGAACAAACCTCAAGCGATATTGCAGCAAAATTAATTTCTCAAACACACAAATCCAGGCAGTTTTTGGTGGGCATGATGGCAAGTATGGAGAAAACTGCTCAGATGTGTAAGAACAGCAAAAAATCTCAGTTCCTACCTCACTGTGTGCCTTTGTGAAGCTGTCCAAGCCTGGATGTGTTTGTCACCTTGTGGGAAGCAGGGAAAACCCCAGCAGCTCTGGGAAGGGAGGGAGCAGGCAGAGAGAGAGTGAGGCACAGCCCAGCCCTGCTCTGCAGGAGTGAGGAGCTGTGCTCTGTGCAGCCAGAATCTGTTTGTGCAGGGACCTGCCTTGCTTTGGCTTTTCAGGGCCAGGAGCAGCAGCAAATCCAAGGCATCCGAAGTTGGGGTTTCTGGGTGCTCCTCGCACAGGCGCTGCTGTCACACCCAGCCCCTCTGCAGAACATCACAGATGTTCTCACAAACAAAGCTCACAGGGATTCGTTTCTCTTTGCTGCCTTCTCCCCTTCACTAGAGGAGAGCATCCTTTGGCCTTCCAAAGAGGTCTCTGACTTTGGGCTGAGGTTG